TTGGGAGAAGAGGGGAAAATCTAATGTCAATTTACCTGTGGGACAATCAAATTGCAGAAACCTATTTTGGATGCACCTCTACAAACTGTAAGTCATTGTTTAGGATTCCCAGAATAAAGCAATATTTTCTGTTTGTTCCTCTGAGTTATCTATCTGTTCCAGACTGAAATAGAGCAAGTTTCCTGTCTAGAACAGAATATGCTTTGTAATTCAAGACCAGACAGATAACTCAATGAAATGGTTTTAAACAAATATTTAATCCGGGAATCCTTAACAGAAACTTACATTTCTGAAGATGTGTCCAGAAGCTGAACATTTGCCCATTTACATCGGTAAAATCAATAATTCCTTCATATCAATTTCTAGCATGAATTAAGACCGTGTTTGTCCTCCTGTATTCCCATGCTTATCTCAGACAAAGACATTCCAAACTGGCATGTAGCCAGGATATCCTCTGATGAACTTAGTAGCCCCTTCCACTGACTTATTAACATAGGATTCACTGAACAGCTATAACTACATTACCCATAAGCCATCTCTTAAGGAGACAGCGCTTAACCCTTTAAATGCCAAACATTCTAACATACAGATCTATGCTCTGGTCAGAGTTATATATATATATTTTAAATATTTTATTAGATTTTATGAGGGTAAAGGGAAAGTAGGGTTGATAAGGGTATGACAAGGGGTAGCAAACAAAAAAGGTTAGACCAGGGGAAGGGATAGGTACAATAGTGGAGTTGTCCCCCATAATAAGTCAACGCTTCAACAAGTAAACCCGTCCAGGTATACATATTCAATCATACTAATTAATATAAAATAGTGATACTTAATATAACATTACTAATATATTAGTAATTAACTATAATAACTTTAACACATTAATATATTACTTATTAGTTATAATTACTTATTGTTAGAATCACAAATGAAAAAGAAAAAAGAATTCATAGGAATAAACATGAAATTTAATACAAAATCTATATAGTACTAAACAGTTATAAAG